AGTATACAGAGTTAACACGCCAGGATACAGTGTTAACACGCCAGGATACAGTGTTAACACGCCAGGATACAGTGTTAACACGCCAGGATACAGTGTTAACACGCCAGTGTACAGTGCTAACACGCCAGTGTACAGTGCTAACACGCCAGTGTACAGTGCTAACACGCCAGTGTACAGTGCTAACAGGCCAGTGTACAGTGCTAACAGGCCAGTGTACAGTGCTAACACGCCAGTGTACAGTGCTAACACGCCAGTGTGCAGTGTTAACACGCCAGTGTACAGTGTTAACACGCAGTACACAGTGTTAACACGCCAGTATACAGTATTAACACGCCAGTGTACAGTGTTAACACGCCAGTGTACAGTGTTAACACGCCAGTATATAGTGTTAACACGCCAGTGTACAGTGTTAACACGCCAGTATAGTATTAACACGCCAGTGTACAGTGTTAACACGCCAGTGTACAGTGTTAACACGCCAGCATACAGTGTTAACACGCCAGTGCACAGTGTTACCACGCCAGTGCACAGTGTTAACACGCCAGTGTACAGTGTTAACACGCCAGTATACAGTGTTAACACGCCAGTATACAGTGTTAACACGTCAGTGTACAGTGTTAACACGCCACTATACAGTGTTAACACGCCAGTATACAGTGTTAACACGCCATTATACAGTGTTAACACGCCAGTGTACATACAGTGTTAATACGCCAGTGTACAGTGTTAACACGCCAAAATACAGTGTTAAAAAGCCAGTGTACAGTGTTAACACGCCAGTGTACAGTGTTAACACGCCAGTGTACAGTGTTAACACGCCAGTGTACAGTGTTAACACGCCAGTATACAGTGTTAATACGCCAGTGTACAGTGTTAACACGCCAGTGTACAGTGTTAACACGCCAGTGTACAATGTTAACACGCCAGTGTACAGTGTTAACACACCAGTGTACAGTGTTAACACGCCAGTGTACAGTGTTAACACGCCAGTGTACAGTGTTAACACTCCAATATACAGTGTTAACACGCCAGTGTACAGTGCTAACACGCCAGTGTACAGTGTTAACACTCCAGTATACAGTGTTAACACGCCAGTGTACAGTGTTAACACGCCAATGTACAGTGTTAATACGCCAGTGCATAGTGTTAACACGCCAGTATACAGTGTTAACACGCCAGGATACAGTGTTAACACGCCAGTGTACAGTGTTAACACGCCAGTGTACAGTGTTAATACGCCAGTGTACAGTGTTAACACGCCAGTATACAGTGTTACCACGCCAGGATACAGTGTTAACACGCCAGTATACAGAGTTAACACGCCAGGATACAGTGTTAACACGCCAGGATACAGTGTTAACACGCCAGGATACAGTGTTAACACGCCAGTATACAGTGTTAACACGCCAGGATACAGTGTTAACACGCCAGTGTACAGTGTTAATACGCCAGTGTACAGTGTTAACACGCCAGTATACAGTGTTAACACGCCAGGATACAGTGTTAACACGCCAGTGTACAGTGTTAATACGCCAGTGTACAGTGTTAAAACGCCAGGATACAATGTTAACAAGCCAGTATACAGTGTTAACACGCCAGGATACAGGGTTAACACGCCAGTATACAGTGTTAACACGCCAGTGTACAGTGTTAACACGCCTGTGTACAGTGTTAACACGCCAGGATACAGTGTTAACACGCCAGTATACAGTGTTAACACGCCAGTGTACAGTGTTAACACGCCAGTGTACAGTGTTAACACGCCAGGATACAGTGTTAACAGGCCAGTATACATTGTTAACACGCCAGGGTACAGTGTTAACAGGCCAGTGTACAGTGTTAACACGCCAGGATACAGTGTTAACAGGCCAGTGCACAGTGTTAACACGCCAGTGCACAGTGTTAACACGCCAGTGTACAGTGTTAACACGCCAGTATACAGTGTTAACACGCCAGTATACAGTGTTAACACGCCAGTGTACAGTGTTAACACGCCCGTATACAGTGTTAACACGCCAGTGTACAGTGTTAACACGCCAGTGTACAGTGTTAACACGCAGCACACAGTGTTAACACGCCAGTGTACAGTGTTAACACGCCAGTATTCAGTGTTAACACGCCAGTGTACAGTGTTAACACACCAGTGGACAGTGTTAACACGCCAGTATACAGTGTTAACACGCCAGTGTACAGTGTTAACAGGCCAGTGTACAGTGTTAACACGCCAGTATACAGTGTTAACACGCCAGTGTACAGTGTTAACAGGCCAGTGTACAGTGTAAACAGGCCAGTGTACAGTGTTAACAGGCCAGTGTACAGTGTTAACACGCCAGTGTACAGTGTTAACACGCCAGGATACAGTGTTAACACGCCAGTATACAGTGTTAACACGCCAGTGTACAGTGTTAACACGTCAGTGTACAGTGTTAACACGCCAGGATACAGTGTTAACACGCCAGTATACAGTGTTAACACGCCAGTGTACAATGTTAACACGCAAGTGTACAGTGTTACACGCAGTACACAGTGTTAACACGCCAGTGTACAGTGTTAACACGCCAGTATACAGTGTTAACACGCCAGTGTACAGTGTTAACACGCCAGTGTACAGTGTTAACACGCCAGTATACAGTGTTAACACGCCAGTGTACAGTGTTAACACGCCAGTGTACAGTGTTAACACGCCAGTATACAGTGTTAACACGCCAGTGTACAGTGTTAACAGGCCAGTGTACAGTGTTAACAGGCCAGTGTACAGTGTTAACAGGCCAGTGTACAGTGTTAACACGCCAGTGTACAGTGTTAACACGCCAGGATACAGTGTTAACACGCCAGTATACAGTGTTAACACGCCAGTGTACAGTGTTAACACGCCAGTGTACAGTGTTAACACGCCAGGATACAGTGTTAACACGCCAGTGTACAGTGTTAACACGCCAGTGTACAGTGTTAACACGCCAGTGTACAGTGTTAACACGCCAGGATACAGTGTTAACACGCCAGTATACAGTGTTAACACGCCAGTGTACAGTGTTAACACGCCAGTGTACAGTGTTAACACGCCAGGATACAGTGTTAACACGCCAGTGTACAGTGTTAACACGCCAGTATACAGTGTTAACACGCCAGTGTACAGTGTTAACACGCCAGTGTACAGTGTTAACACGCCAGTATACAGTGTTAACACGCCAGTGTACAGTGTTAACACGCCAGTGTACAGTGTTAACACGCCAGTGTACAGTGTTAACACGCCAGTGTACAGTGTTAACACGCCAGTGTACAGTGTTAACAAAGCCAGTGTACGGTGTTATCACGCCAGTGTACAGTGTTAACACGCCAGTGTACAGTGTTAACACGCCAGTGTACAGTGTTAACACGCCAGTGTACAGTGTTAACACGCCAGTGTACAGTGTTTAGACGCCAGTGTACAGTGTTAACACGCCAGTGTACAGTGTTAACACGCCAGTGTACAGTGTTAACAGGCCAGTGTACAGTGTTAACACGCCAGTGTACAGTGTTAACACGCCAGTGTACAGTGTTAACACGCCAGTGTACAGTGTTAACACGCCAGTGTACAGTGTTAACACGCCAGTGTACAGTGTTAACACGCCAGTATACAGTGTTAACACGCCAGTGATACAGTGTTAACACGCCAGTGTACAGTGTTAACACGCCAGTGTACAGTGTTAACACGCCAGTGATACAGTTGATCATTAACAGAAAAAGCAATTTCTACCTCTGATACACAGGTGCACACCTGACACCTCTGATACACAGGTGCACACCTGACACCTCTGATACACAGGTGCACACCTGACACCTCTGATACACAGGTGCACACCTGACACCTCTGATACACAGGTGTTCAACTGACACCTCTGATACACAGGTATACACCTGACACCTCTGATACACAGGTGTACACCTGACACCTCTGATACACAGGTGTACACCTGACACCTCTGATACACAAGTGCACACCTGATACCTCTGATACACAGGTGCACACCTGACTCCTCTGATTCACAGGTGTACACCTGACACCTCTGATACACAGGTGTACACCTGACACCTCTGATACACAGGTGTACACCTGACACCTCCGATACACAGGTGTACACCTGACACCTCTGATTCACAGGTGCACACCTGACACCTCTGATACACAGGTGCACACCTGACACCTCTGATACACAGGTGCACACCTGACACCTCTGATACACAGGTCTACAACTGACACCTCTGATACACAGGTATACTCCTGACACCTCTGATACACAGGTGTACACCTGACACCTCTGACACACAGGTGTACACCTGACACCTCTGATACACAGGTGCACACCTGACACCTCTGATACACAGGTGTACACCTGACACCTCTGATACACAGGTGTACACCTGACACCTCTGATACACAGGTGCACACCTGACACCTCTGATACACAGGTGTACACCTGACACCTGTGTTACTCAGGTGTGGTGATAGTCTAGTCCTCTCACAGTGTAAGTGTTTTGCAGTAACTCCTACACAAGCTGGCTGAAAACCCCTCAATATTATCTATGAACGAGCAGTGTTGGTGACCACTCAGACTACAGTGACCACTCAGACTACAGTGATCACTCAGACTACAGTGACCACTCAGACTACAGTGACCACTCAGACTACAGTGACCACTCAGACTACAGTGACCACTCAGACTTCAGTGACCACTCAGACTACAGTGATGCTGCTCAATACTTCACCTCTTTACTCACCTGCTATTTACATGTTAATTGGCGTGTTTTAAATTCATTTGGATTAAAAATTACAGCAAGTGTGAGAGCACCTCCCTTTCCACTTTCTTCCCCTAAATGATAAACAGATCCCAGGTCTCTCTCTCTCTCTCTCTCTCTCTCTCTCTCTCTCTCTCTCTTCTCTCTCTCTCTCTCTCCATTTCTTCCCTCACAGCCCTCCTTCCTTCCTTCCTTCCTTCCTTCCTTCCTTCCCTGCCTCTTACCTTCCACTGTGAGGAGTATGGGTAGGAAGACCTTGGGGCTGGTGGAGACCTGACACTCGTAGACTCCAGCATCCCTGAAGGTGACGGGACTGATCTCCAGGTACCACTCGTTGCTGTCTTCTGGATGATACACCTGAGGGAGCAAACACCTGTCTCTCTCACCTAACTCAAAAATTATCTCTTGATGTTTTCCTAGTGTAGTTATTATACTAGTTTATTTATTCTAGCTGCAGCGCTGTATGACCCTTGTGGATTTAGCGCTTTGTTCTGATTGTAGTAATAATAATATAATTCAAGTTTACTTATCATTCTAGCTTATTTATCATACAAAAGTAGCTTACTTATCATTTTTTTTATTTATCATCCTACAATAGCTTATCATTCTAGACTATTTATCATCCAAGTCTACAGTTCCTCCTCCTTCAGGTATACACAATCTTAACAATCATAATAAGAGTTGAATGGGTTGTAGGTAGAGTGCAGTGAACGCTCATCAACGCTCATCAACAAGCACTCTACGGAGAGTCGTCAACAAGAGTCTTACTTGAGGTTCCTTGAGTCAGAGGTCAGATTAATTCAGGGTAAACAAGACTTCTCGGGATAAACGTAAACAACTGCTATAAAAGCACGAAAGAACTTCCCAGGAAAGGTCAAGGAATAACACATTAGTTAAAAGAGCGGCAGTAGCAGCAGCAGCACCTGCAGGAACAATAGCAGCAACGATAGCAGAGCTATTGGTTGGTGCTGACCTTTCACGCTGTCTCAAAACGACGGCGAGAGCTGAGCAGTAGTGGTGTGTGTGTGTGTGTGTGTGTGTGTGTGTGTGTGTGTGTGTGTGTGTGTGTGTGTGTGTGTGTGTGTGTGTGTGTGTGTGTGTGTGTGTGTGTGTGTGTGTGTGTGTGTGTGTGTGTGTGTACTCACCTAATTATGGCTGCAAAGTTATGTCACAGTTCCTGGCCCCGTGCGTGTGTGTTTACTCAGCACTGCATCATGGCCCCAGCTCTGGCTTGTCGATAGCATAATTCTAATCAGTTACTGCTGTGTTGAGCTTTGTCGAGACAAATTTTAAATCCATGTATTGAGTTAGCTTCAAGTCATCTCTCACTAATTCACTAACTTGTTCACTCTCCTCACACAAATATTTTTTCCTGGGTCCCAATGATTAATTTTTCAACACATCAGCTGTCTCCCACCGAGGTAGGGTGACCCGATAAAGAAGAAAACATTTAACCATTATTTTTTCAATCACCGTCTAACCTGAACCGTGCTAACACCACAGTTCAAATGACACTCTAAATTGCAACATCCTCACCCCTTCCAGAGTGCAGGCACTGTACTTCCCACCTCTAGGACTCAAGTTCGGCTAACCGGTTTCCCTGAATCCCTTCATAAATGTTACCCCTTCCCACTCACACTCCAACAGCATGACAAATCGTAAAAACCACTTGTCTCCACTAACTCTTGTTTAACACGCTCACAGGGGCCTGTTGGATGCCCAACTCTGTGAACACCCAAAGTCTCCTTTATCTCCTCCTCCCTCCAGCCTTTCCTAGGACGCCACCTGCCCACCTTCCCTCTAGCTCAGATATATACCCTGCTAGTAGAGAATAATAAGTCACAATATCGTAACTGGTCAAATATTTTTGCAAGATGCATGTAGAAGTTGTGCATAAATTTCGTCCCAATTTTTCAACCAACACTGACAGGGAAATAAGAGGCGTCCTTGGAGACCTGTTGTGTCATGCAACAGGGAAATAAGAGGCGTCCTTGGAGACCTGTTGTGTCATGCAACAGGGAAATAAGAGGCGTCCTTGGAGGCCTGTTGTGTCATGCAACAGGGAAATAAGAGGCGTCCTTGGAGGCCTGTTGTGTCATGCAACAGGGAAATAAGAGGCATCCTTGGAGGCCTGTTGTCTCATGCACCTTGTGCAGTCAGTAGCGTTCGTCTTGCAATTGGCATGTGCCACAAAATATAATTTTCCTGTGTGTCATCATGGTTAGTCATTCCTTGCTAGGATGAGTGCAGCATCCTGGTGCTAGGTTGATCAAAGGCGCTTAGGTAACCTAACACTTCAGAGGAAGGCTCAGGGACCTTCCTTCTAAGAACATCTCAGACCGTCGCTCTCACACTGCTTCCTGCCTCCTACCGTGACAGTTCTCTGTATACCTCCTATACACTTGTAAAAAAAAGTATCCTTCTATTTATTCAACTTATCCCGGTACTTTGCCTGTATATGCCTTTTGATGGAGGAAGTGATCAAACCTAGAAGCTCATCTTTCGTATTTTCTATATTATTCATTTGACTGTGTTGACAGCTAGTGTGTGTTGCTGCCAAGTACCGCAGTCACTTTGACTGTGTTGACAGCTAGTGTTTGTTGATGCCAAGTACCGCAGTCACTTTGACTGTGTTGACAGCTAGTGTGTGTTGCTGCCAAGTACCGCAGTCACTTTGACTGTGTTGACAGCTAGTGTGTGTTGCTGCCAAGTACCGCAGTCACTTTGACTGTGCTTGTGTGTGTGACACATATATCGTGAAGTCGTTGTCTCCTGGTCGCTGGCAGAGAGATAGTATGGTTGAGAGACAACCTTTCACAGTCCTAAAACTGAAGCCTGCTAAACCTCGTACATTCTGGCAGGGCTCTCTCTCTCTCTCTCTCTCTCTCTCTCTCTCTCTCTCTCTCTCTCTCTCTCTCTCTCTCTCTCTCTCTCTCTCTCTCTCTCTCACTCTCTCTCTCTCCTCTCCTCTCCTCCTCTCTCTCTCTCTCTCTCTCTCTCTCTCTCTCTCTCTCTCTCTCTGTCTATTTATCTATCTATCTATCTATCTAACTATCTATCATAACAAACATTACTTTCGTGTGAGTTTCCTATCGGATCTTAATTCTTGGAGGCTTGATCTGAGACCAGGGCGAGGGAGCCATGATCTCAGGAACCAGTGAGACCAGGGCGAGGGAGCCATGATCTCAGGAACCAGTGAGACCAGGGCGAGGGAGCCATGATCTCAGGAACCAGTGAGACCAGGGCGAGGGAGCCATGATCTCAGGAACCAGTGAGACCAGGGCGAAGGAGCCATGATCTCAGGAACCAGTGAGACCAGGGCGAGGGAGCCATTATCTCAGGAACCAGTGAGACCAGGGCGAGGGAGCCATGATCTCAGGAACCAGTGAGACCAGGGCGAGGAGCCATGATCTCAGGAACCAGTGAGACCAGGGCGACGGAGCCATGATCTCAGGAACCAGTGAGACCAGGGCGACGGAGCCATGATCTCAGGAACCAGTGAGACCAGGGCGACGGAGCCATGATCTCAGGAACCAGTGAGACCAGCGCGAAGGAGCCATAATCTCAGGAACCAGTGAGACCAGGGCGACGGAGCCATGATCTCAGGAACCAGTGAGACCAGGGCGACGGAGCCATGATCTCAGGAACCAGTGAGACCAGGGCGACGGAGCCATGATCTCAGGAACCAGTGAGACCAGGGCGACGAATCCATGATCTCAGGAACCAGTGAGACCAGGGCGAGGGAGCCATGATCTCAGGAACCAGTGAGACCAGGGCGACGGAGCCATGATCTCAGGAACCAGTGAGACCAGGCGACGGAGCCATGATCTCAGGAACCAGTGAGACCAGGGCGACGAAGCCATGATCTCAGGAACCAGTGAGACCAGGGCGAGGGAGCCATGATCTCAGGAACCAGTGAGACCAGGGCGACGGAGCCATGATCTCAGGAACCAGTGAGACCAGGGCGAGGGAGCCATGATCTCAGGAACCAGTGAGACCAGGGCGAGGGAGCCATGATCTCAGGAACCAGTGAGACCAGGGCGACGAAGCCATGATCTCAGGAACCAGTGAGACCAGGGCGACGAAGCCATGATCTCAGGAACCAGTGAAACCAGGGCGACGAAGCCATGATCTCAGGAACCAGTGAGACCAGGGCGACGAAGCCATGATCTCAGGAACCAGTGAGACCAGGGCGAGGGAGCCATGATCTCAGGAACCAGTGAGACCAGGGCGAGGGAGCCATGATCTCAGGAACCAGTGAGACCAGGGCGAGGGAGCCATGATCTCAGGAACCAGTGAGACCAGGGCGAGGGAGCCATGATCTCAGGAACCAGTGAGACCAGGGCGACGAAGCCATGATCTCAGGAACCAGTGAAACCAGGGCGACGAAGCCATGATCTCAGGAACCAGTGAGACCAGGGCGAGGGAGCCATGATCTCAGGAACCAGTGAGACCAGGGCGAGGGAGCCATGATCTCAGGAACCAGTGAGACCAGGGCGACGAAGCCATGATCTCAGGAACCAGTGAAACCAGGGCGACGGAGCCATGATCTCAGGAACCAGTGAGACCAGGGGGACGAAGCCATGATCTCAGGAACCAGTGAGACCAGGGCGAGGGAACCATGATCTCAGGAACCAGTGAGACCAGAGCGAGGGAGCCATGAGCTCAGGAACCAGTGAGACCAGGGCGAGGGAGCCATGATCTCAGAAACTATTAATAAATAACTGAGTCGAGTACCCAGTCACATCAAAGTTCACTCACTCACTCACTCACTCACTCACTCACTCACTCACTCACTCACTCACTCACTCACTCACTCACTCACTCGCAGACTTAAAGTAAAAATTAATATGTGGCACTAACACACACAGCAAAGAGACGGGGCCAGGAGCTACGACTCAACCCCCGCAACCACAAGTGAGTATAATCATGGCACCAGTGGCACTACTGTAGTAAAAGAAATGACTGGACAATAACTCACAAATAACCAACAATTTGGAGAGGGAACTTTAAGCGACATTTCGATCGGTCCTGAACCATTATCATAGCACAGAAAGGAGCGAAACGTCTAATTTTATGTTTAACTTGAGGATTGTGAATTGTTGCACTTACAAAATTAACAATTTTATTAGTTATTTGATGGATTTTAACATTAAACAGAGAATAATGGACTAAAGAAGGTAGGGGTGGAGGGACACTAGTACCAAGGTAGGGGTGGAGGGACACTAGTACCAAGGTAGGGGTGGAGGGACACTAGTACCAAGGTAGGGGTGGAGAGACACTAGTACCAAGGTAGGGGTGGAGGACACTAGTACCAAGGTAGGGGTGGAGGGACACTAGTACCAAGGTAGGGTGGAGGGACACTAGTACCAAGGTAGGGGTGGAGGGACACTAGTACCAAGGTAGGGGTGGAGGGACACTAGTACCAAGGTAGGGGTGGAGGGACACTAGTACCAAGGTAGGGGTGGAGGGACACTAGTACCAAGGTAGGGGTGGAGGGACACTAGTACCAAGGTAGGGTGGAGGGACACTAGTACCAAGGTAGGGGTGGAGGACACTAGTACCAAGGTAGGGTGGAGGGACACTAGTACCAAGGTAGGGGTGGAGGACACTAGTACCAAGGTAGGGGTGAGGGACACTAGTACCAAGGTAGGGGTGGAGGGACACTAGTACCAAGGTAGGGGTGGAGGGACACTAGTACCAAGGTAGGGGTGGAGGGACACTAGTACCAAGGTAGGGGTGGAGGGACACTAGTACCAAGGTAGGGTGAAGGGACACTAGTACCAAGGTAGGGGTGGAGGGACACTAGTACCAAGGTAGGGGTGGAGGGACACTAGTACCAAGGTAGGGGTGAAGGGACACTAGTACCAAGGTAGGGGTGGAGGGACACTAGTACCAAGGTAGGGGTGGAGGGACACTAGTACCAAGGTAGGGGTGGAGAGACACTAGTACCAAGGTAGGGGTGGAGGGACACTATTACCAAGGTAGGGGTGAAGGGACACTAGTACCAGGTAGGGGTGGAGGGACACTAGTACCAAGGTAGGGGTGGAGGGACACTAGTACCAAGGTAGGGGTGAAGGGACACTAGTACCAAGGTAGGGGTGGAGGGACACTAGTACCAAGGTAGGGGTGGAGGGACACTAGTACCAAGGTAGGGGTGGAGGGACACTAGTACCAAGGTAGGGTGAAGGGACACTAGTACCAAGGTAGGGGTGGAGGGACACTAGTACCAAGGTAGGGGTGGAGAACACTAGTACCAAGGTAGGGGTGGAGGGACACTAGTACCAAGGTAGGGGTGGAGGGACACTAGTACCAAGGTAGGGGTGAAGGACACTAGTACCAAGGTAGGGTGGAGGGACACTAGTACCAAGGTAGGGGTGAGAGACACTAGTACCAAGGTAGGGTGGAGGGACACTAGTACCAAGGTAGGGGTGGAGGGACACTAGTACCAAGGTAGGGGTGGAGGGACACTAGTACCAAGGTAGGGGTGGAGAGACACTAGTACCAAGGTAGGGGTGGAGGGACACTAGTACCAAGGTAGGGGTGGAGGGACACTAGTACCAAGGTAGGGGTGGAGGGACACTAGTACCAAGGTAGGGGTGGAAGGACACTAGTACCAAGGTAGGGGTGGAGGGACACTAGTACACAAGGTAGGGGTGGAGGGACACTAGTACCAAGGTAGGGGTGGAGGGACACTAGTACCAAGGTAGGGGTGGAGAGACCACTAGTACCAAGGTAGGGGTGGAGGGACACTAGTACCAAGGTAGGGGTGGAGGGACACTAGTACCAAGGTAGGGTGGAGGGACACTAGTACCAAGGTAGGGGTGGAGGGACACTAGTACCAAGGTAGGGTGGAGGGACACTAGTACCAAGGTAGGGGTGGAGGGACACTAGTACCAAGGAAGGGGTGGAGGACACTAGTACCAAGTAGGGGTGAGGGACACTAGTACCAAGGTAGGGTGGAGGGACACTAGTACCAAGGTAGGGGTGGAGAGACACTAGTACCAAGGTAGGGGTGGAGGACACTAGTACCAAGGTAGGGGTGGAGGGACACTAGTACCAAGGTAGGGGTGGAGGGACACTATAGTCACCAAGGTAGGGGTGGAGGACACTAGTACCAAGGTAGGGGTGGAGGGACACTAGTACCAAGGTAGGGTGGAGGGACACTAGTACCAAGGTAGGGGTGGAGGGACACTAGTACCAAGGTAGGGTGGAGAGACACTAGTACCAAGGTAGGGGTGGAGGGACACTAGTACCAAGGTAGGGGTGGAGGGACACTAGTACCAAGGTAGGGGTGGAGGGACACTAGTACCAAGGTAGGGGTGGAGAGACACTAGTACCAAGGTAGGGGTGGAGGGACACTATACCAAGGTAGGGTGGAGGGACACTAGTACCAAGGTAGGGGTGGAGGGACACTAGTACCAAGGTAGGGGTGGAGGGACATTAGTACCAAAGGTAGGGTGGAGGGACACTAGTACCAAGGTAGGGGTGGAGGGACACTAGTACCAAGGTAGGGGTGAGGGACACTAGTACCAAGGTAGGGGTGGAGGGACACTAGTACCAAGGTAGGGGTGGAGGGACACTAGTACCAAGGTAGGGGTGGAGGGACACTAGTACCAAGGTAGGGGTGGAGGGACACTAGTACCAAGGTAGGGGTGGAGGGACACTGGAGACACACCTTGAAGCGGTCGTCACTGGTGTAAGTGAAGATGCCGACTGTGAGGATGTGTAGATCTCTCTGCCGGATCCATGACACCTGTACACACACACACACACACACACACACACACACACACACAGGGACAAACACGCACATTAGTTACCTTCATTAAAACCTTCTCTAAATTCAACTTTGAAAGATAATTTTTTAAAAAATTTACTTTTCTAAAACTTGGATAGAAAATGCTCTAAATAATATTTATTTTTACTTTAGTTCTTAAATAAAGATTAAACTATAGAGAGAAATGTGAGATTTTTGCAAAAAAAAACTAATTTACGTAAACACAATGTTCCATACCTGAATAATACGTGTATATACGACATACATAAATAAAGATTTCTAAGCCTACTGGCATATGCAAGGTAAGTCAGTCTTAAAAATCAAAGCTGCCATTTTCAACTTACATCCTTCTTATCAAGATTGATGACTTGGCATGGGAGTGTTGCTTTCTGGCCGACCACAGCCGTGACGTTGGTGGGAGTGTCGTCGTCAAAGTAAGCAGTGTTAGTGTTGGGTCGACCCCATGTTATTTCGTGTCGCTCTCCTTCCTCGCTCTCCTGACCTGCAACACAACACGACCATACTGTTAGTAATACACGACACACTCACACTATGAGTAATTAGTTTTTATCGTCAGGTGATGAGAGCCATGATGAGGGTCCTGGGACCTTGGTCGTGGCGAATCCAGTAAAGATGTGCTAAGTGACTTTGTAAATGGTCCAAGTCGGACCGAAACGTTGTCGTAAACCTGTATCTCTCTGTCTATAATGTCTCTTATGTTGTGTTGGGCTGGCATTATGGTGGAGGCACTACAAGGCGCCGTGGCTAAGACCATGTGAATGTTGGGTAGGTGATGGCACTGTTGAACCACGACAACAGTGATGAGTCAGACTTCTTAGTGCCCTTATGGTGAACCTCAACAACAACTGCCAACAACAATAACTACCAATAACAACTACCAACAACAACAACAACTACCAACAACAACAACTACCAACAACAACCAACAACTACCAACAACAACAACTACCAACAACAACCAACAACAACCAACAACAACAACAGTGATAATTAGGCCTCAACTCAGGTCAACATTTGATAACATTCATTACTATAATTGGCACAAGCATCGTAATTACCGTGTGATATCTCCTTCCACCTGAGATAATAACTTCTCTCTTACAGTTAGAAGCCTCGGTGGATACACTGCAAGGTTTGTGTTGCTCCTGCAGTGTCTTCACTGCAACACCCGCAGTGTTAAACACTAACACCGATATTAACCCTCCGTTATTCTCTGTATGACCAACACACGATTTTTTTTTCCCACCAAGATATATCTTAATTTAAGTGAAAAATAAATTCCTGAAAAACCTGAAAAAAAAATGAAAGTGCTTCGAAATATTAAGGTTTCTCATTTTGTAAAAAATATTATGATTTTGCTCAGTTTTCCTCTTAAATTTAAGTTTTGAGAATTTTGAGTTGGAGAGCAAAGCGAATTGTGTCTGGATCCATCTTGGCCGACTTTCAGGTCACGAGAAACGATATGAAGCCAAAAGTTGGGTCAAACAGAGAGAGATAAACAAGGAAGCAGGAAAAGTCAAGCCAATTAACGTGTGTCAGGAAGGTCTGTAGTCTTGGGAACGGCAGGCGTCAGCAGAAACAAAACTGGTACTAATATTCGTGTTAGAAATGCTGTGTATAAGAAAAGTTCCATAACACCGTGATAGAGGGCGTTATGAAACTTCTCTTAGACAGATAGAAGGTGCTAAGTCTCTTAGACCTGATAAAAGGTGATCAGTTTTTTTGTATGAGGGATATACAGTTCCAGTGAAGCACAAATCAAGAGATAGTCATAGTCTCTAACAAGACAGAAAAGAGCTACATTAGTGTGAAAGATTACCTTACAAGCTGCCACGTTAACAATGGTCTAAATGATCTATGATATTCTTTACACAAGTAGGATATTGAAGCTAGGATCGTCACAGTAGGAGCTCAGGGACTATTATAGGAACGTGTCGGTCGGTGATCAAGCAGTGAATCTCATTTGCAACAGTAATCATTAATGGTTTGATGAAGATAGAAGCTGGGAGTATCACTGTGGATACATGTATCCTTGTACAAGCAATGTGTAATAAACAACTAGTCAGGAGTGGATGAAGCTTACCCGGAGGGAAGAAATGAGAAATCAAGATAATCCGCGAATTTCAACATCCAGCTGAAGACAGCTCCAATAAATCTGATGAAGGAGACCTCAATTAGAAGTCGAAACAGAGTTTTCTAACTTGTGTCTTTTCGTACGATACATCCCATTCCATATATCCTTATCCTAAGCATAAAGATGCTTAGAAAACAGTTTGCATAATTGTATAAAAAGATTGAAGAATGTTGAAAAAATCTAGCAAAATGAACGAGGAAAGAATGCAATTTATATATATAATATATATATATATATATATTATATATATATATATATATATATATATATATATAATATATATATATATATATATATATATATATATATATATATATATGCAAATGGGATGAATGATATTGAAACTAAGGTTAATGTCTTCCAATATTTTAAGCTGTAGGCGTAAGTGAAAGGTGGAAAAAGATGGTGCAAGCTCTTTCAAGCTACACCATCTATTAGCACCAACACCTGCTGCAGCACCAGCAGTAGCTACAGCAGCAGCTGCAGCAACAGCGAACACATCTACATCAGCTGCGGTAATCAAAATAATGAGAACTAACAGAGCGTCCTCATTAATGGTGGAAAACAAGAAGCATCGGTGAGGAAGGCAGGGAACAGGAGAGGCAGGAAGCAGGAGAGGCAGGGAGCAGGACAGGCAGGAAGCAGGAGAGGCAGGAAGCAGGAGAGGCAGGGAGAAGGAGAGGCAGGAAGCAGGAGAGGCAGGGAGAAGGAGAGGCAGGGAGCAGGAGAGGCAGGGAGCAGGACAGGCAGGAAGCAGGAGAGGCAGGGAGCAGGAGAGGCAGGGAACAGGAGAGGCAGGAAGCAGGAGAGGGGAGGAGGAGAGGCAGGGAACAGGGAGAGGCAGGAAGAGGAGAGAGGGAGCAGGACGGCAGGAAGCAGGAGAGGGAGGAAGCAGGAGGGGGCAGGGAGAAGGAGAGGCAGGAAGCAGGAGAGGCAGGGAGAAAAGGGGAGGCAGGGAGCAGGAGAGGCAGGAAGCAGGAGAGGCAGGAAGCAGGGGAGGCAGGGAGCAGGAGAGGCAGGGAAACAGGAGAGGCAGGAAGCAGGAGAGGCAGGGAGCAGGAGAGGCAGGGAGCAGGAAGAGAAGCAGGAGGCAGGAAGCAGGGGAGGCAGGGAGCAGGAGAGGCAGGGAACAGAGAGGCAGGAAGCAGGGGAGGCAGGGAGCAGGAGAGGCAAGGAGCAGGAGAGGCAGGGAACAGGAGAGGCAGGAAGCAGAGAGGCAGGGAACAGGAGAGGCAGGAAGCAGGAGAGGCAGGAACAGGAGAGACAGGAGCAGGAGAGGCAGGGAACAGGAGAGGCAGGAAGCAGGAGAGGCAGGAGCAGGAGAGGACAGGGAACAGGAGAGGCAGGAAGCAGAGAGGCAGGAGCAGGAGAGGCAGAGAGAGAGGCAAGGAAAGGAGAGGCAGGGAGCAGGAGTGGCAGGAAGCAGAGAGGCAGGAAGCAAATAGAGGAAGTAGGAGAGGCAGAAGCAGGAGAGGCAGGGAGAAGGAGAGGCAAGGAAGGAGAGGCAGGAAGCAGGAGAGGCAGGAAGCAGAATAAGCAGGAAGTAGGAGAGGCAGGAAGCAGGAGAGGCAGGAAGCAGAATAAGCAGGAAGTAGGAGAGGCAGGAAGCAGGAGAGGCAGGGAGAAGGAGAGGCAGGGAGCAGGAGAGGCAGGAAGCAGGAGAGGCAGGGAGCAGGAAAGGCAGGAAGCAGGATAGGCAGGGAGCAGGGAAAGCAGGAAGACAGGGAAGCAAGAAGGCAGCAATAACAGCACACAATAACTTCTGTCACTGCTTCTCCTCTCTTTAATTAATGTCCCTGTATCATCCTAACTCATCTACACCCTCAACAAACACACTTGACTCGTCCCTGTATTATCCTAACTCATCTACACCCTCAACAAACACACCTGACTCGTCTCTGTATCATCCTAACTCATCTACACCCTCGACACACAAACCTGACTCGTCCCTGTATCATCCTAACTCATCTACACCCTCAACAAACACACCTGACTCGTCCCTGTATCATCCTAGCTCATCTACACTCTCAACAAATACACCTGACTACTCGTCCCTGTATCATCCTAACTCATCTACACCCTCACCAAACACACCTGACTCGTCCCTGTATCATCCTAACTCATCTACACTCTCAACAAACACACCTGACTCGTCCCTGTATCATCCTAACTCATCTACACTCTCAACAAACACACCTGACTCGTCCCTGTATCATTCTAACTCATCTACACCCTCAACAAACACACATGACTAGTCCCTGTATCATCCTAACTCATCTACACTCTCAACAAACATACATGACTCGTCCCGGTATCATCCTAACCCATCTACACCCTCAACAAACACACCTGACTTGTCCCTGTATCATAATAACTCGTCTACACCCTCAACAAACACACCTGACTCGTCCCTGTATCATCCTAACTCATCTACACTCTCAACAAACACACCTGACTCGTCCCTGTATCATCCTAACTCATCTACACCCTCATAAAACACACCTGACTCGTTCCTGTATCATCCTAACTCATCTACACCCTCAATAAACACACCTGACTCGTCCCTGTATCATCCTAACTCATCTACACTCTCAACAAACACACCTGACTCGTCCCTGTATCATCCTAACTCATCTACACCCTCAACACACAAACCTGACTCGTCCCTGTATCATCCTAACTCATTTACACCCTCAACAAACACACCTGACTAGTCCCTGTATCATCCTAACTCATCTACACCCTCAACAAACACACCTGACTTGTCCCTGTATCATAATAACTCGTCTACACCTCAACAAACACACCTGACTTGTCCCTGTATCATCCTAACTCATCTACACCCTCAACACACACACGTGACTCGTCCCTGTATCATCCTAACTCATCTACACCCTCAACACACAAACCTGACTCGTCCCTGTATCATCCTAACTCATCTACACCCTCAACAACACCACCTGACTTCCCTGTAATCATACCTAACTCTCTCACACCCTCAACAAACACACCTGACTTGTCCTGTACATAAACTCGATCTACACCTCAACAAACACACCTGACTTGTCCCTGTATCATCCTAACTCATCTACACCCTCAACAAACACACCTGACTCGTCCCTGTATCATCCTAACTCATCTACACCCTCAACACACAAACCTGACTCGTCCCTGTATCATCCTAACTCATCTACACCCTCAACAAACACACCTGACTCGTCCCTGTATCATCCTAACTCTTCTACACTCTCAACAAACACACCTGACTCGTCCCTGTATCATCCTAACTCATCTACACCCTCAACAAACACACCTGACTTGTCCCTTTTATCATCCTAACTCATCTA